CACTTATTTCATGTACACGCTTTATTAAAGTTGTAGCTCTCAATTTAAAGTGTAACAAAAGTAATCAAAAAATTTTCTCTTTCTGACAATTTACAAAAAATTTTGTTCTGCAATTAGAACTGGACTTAAAAAGATTCAATTGAAAGAAATATTTAAAAAACTAAATAACCTAAATGAAAAACTAGTTTTCTAAAGTAAAGCAAGTTAAACGTGTTTCCAACCAGAAACAAAGTCATCAGAGATTTAGTGTTAAAAACTTATTCTTATTTTTATTATTTTTATTTTATTATTCTTATTATTATTATTCTTATTTGAGCATACATACTATTATTAAAGAAAAAAATATAAATTCATGTGTAGACTTTGTAAGATTTTCTTTAGATGATGGAGTAGGCTACTTATATATTGTTGTAAATGTTTTTGAGGAAAAAGAGAACCTGAAACTAAATTTAAGAATAGTTCAATTTTTGTCAAAGATGAAAAATATGAAAACCTCAAATTAGTGCTTTAAAAATTTATTATTAACTTTAAATACACTAACGTATTATTTAGTTAGCCATTACACGCCTTTTAAAATGTGTGATGAACTAAACTGTGGGGTTGTGGTGTATGTACATTTGATATAAGAAACCTTAGAACTATTGCTGATTTTGACTTCTGTTATAAATTATCTATAAAATTTGAATCTAACAATCTTTCATCTTCTCATCGAAGATGTGGATAAAAGAGAGATAAATTAGCGGAATGCAGCTTGTTAAAATAAGAAGAACAGTGTGGAAAGGTAATTCGTGGAAAGTTTATGGAAAAGATATAAATACATTATCAAAAGATAAATACATTTTCAAAGGAAAAGATATAAATATACACATATATAAAAGATATAAATAGACATATATATAAAAAGATATAAATATACATATATATAAAATCACAAAGATATTATGTATAAATTATACTTTGTAAAATTTTTCAATTTCATTATATTGTAAAATACAAATGTCTTTGTAAAAAATTTGATTGGAGCATAGGAACAAATAAAATCCAAAAAAATGTTGATACTTGCAGTAGATAGAATTTCAAGAAAAATGAGTTTTGGTTTTTACTTTGAGCAAGTGAAACTAATATCTACTATAGTTAAATCATCTTAACAAAAATATAAAAAAAGACCAGGTCACACTTCACTAAATCTAATGGGATTTTTGGTCCACAGCAAGGTGTTTCCTGGTCCACAGTGTGGTATTTTCTATTTCTGCAATATTACAAAAAAAAAAACCAAATAAGTTTAAAAAGAACTTTAGCGAGAAAAAATTTATGAAATAAAAATATCCAAATAAGTAATATAAAATAAGTAATATAAAATAAGTAATATCCAAATAAGTAATATAAAATAAGTAATATAAAATAAGTAATATAAAATAAGTAATATAAAATAAGTAATATAAAATAAGTAATATAAAATAAGTAATATAAAATAAGTAATAAAAAATAAGTAATATAAAATAAGTAATATAAAATAAGTAATATAAAAATAAGCAATATAAAATAAGTAATATAAAATAAGTAATATAAAAATAAGTAATATAAAATAAGTAATATAAAATAAGTAATATAAAAATAAGTAATATAAAATAAGTAATATAAAAATAAGTAATATAAAATAAGTAATACAAAATAAGTAATATAAAAATAAGTAATATAAAATAAGTAATATAAAATAAGTAATATAAAAATAAGTAATATAAAATAAGTAATATAAAATAAGTAATATAAAAATAAGTAATATAAAATAAGTAAAATGAACATAAATCTTAAGATTTTGTAAAAACAAATGTTTAGAAACTGAAAACAAAAAAATCATAAATAATTTATGGTAACCAGAAATAAAAGTATTTTAAATTGGCAATCAGGGGCGAACTTTGCATTACCAACAATTTACAATTTATAGCTTCAAATTCTTGTTATTCTTTAAACAAAATACCAAAGCAAAAAGTAACTTTTATGTTGGCCCAAACAATAAACAAAAAATTTTACAAATAAATTTATATATGCATACATGTATACATGAATACATGTATACATGCATGCATGCATGCATCCATACATAATACATACATACATACAGGGGCTATTCTAGGAAAATAATTTGGGCGGCGGTACCCCTCTGCCTCACTCCCCCCTCTTAAAATTTAAGTAATGGGGGGGGGGGGCCGAAACATGTTTAGAAAATTTCAAAATTTTTGTTTTTAGATAAACAAAAATTTAGTTAGTTTTTAGCTTTATTATTATGTTTAAATGTATTTGAAATAATTCACTATAATTCATTCCTGTTAAAATGATCTGTTACATAAATTTTATAAGGAAGTTGCTACCTAAAAATAAATATTGCACAGAAGTTTCACTGAAATAAAAATAAATTAACAAATAGCCAAATTACCTTAAATTTACTAGATTGCAAATGTTTATGGGGAAAAAAACCCACATATTTACTGCAACAAACTTACTAATCTCATTGAGTCCATAACTTATATGTATAACTTCCATGTATAAAATAATTATTGTATGAAACTGCTGTTGATGTAGTTAATAAAAAAAAATCTTTAAAATAATTATTGCCATATTTTTGCCAAAAATTAAAACAAATAAATATAAGCTAAATAAAAAAACATTACTACTTTAATCAACCTAAATGCGTTTACTAATGTACGAACTTTAAAAACAATGGTACTGGTGGTCCGGTGAATATACGCGCTAAATTAAAAAGTTTTGTCCAAGTCTCTTCAAAATAAAAAACCATAAATTGAAACTTATTTTCATATTCATTTATTTTTATATAACGGCTGCAAGACAACGGATCTATTCAAAATTAATGCCAAATAAATATATATATATATATATATATATATATATATATTTCTCTATCATATTTATAAATATTTACATATTTGTTAAATAAATTTAAAAAAAAGGTCTTCAATTACCTGAATTTGGGCGGCGCCCAAATCAGCGCCCAAATACGGACGGCGCTGTCGAAAACGGTCTAGAATAGCCCCTGACATACATACATACACTACCGTCCATAATTATTTGAATGGTCATTTTTCACTTTTCAATATAAGATATCAAAGTTTTACTTACTATTAGGAGAAAAACTGAAAACAAAATCTACCTGAATTATATATTATCATTATATATTATCATATATAATTATATATTATCATTATATATCCACATGATTAAACACTAGTTTTTGACATTACTTTTAATTCCTCCCATAAAAATCCTATAGGAAAGAGATCTTGTGATTGGGGAGGCTAAATCATTCTATTCAATATTTAATTATTCCCAAATAAGTTATACAATGTTCTGAAGCATGTCTTAGATTTAAGCTTTAAGCTATATTCTTCTAAAAGAATAAATGGCTTCCCATTAACCTAACTTTTCAAAGTATAGCATAATTTTTCAAGTGTCCAAGTTTGTCATTATTTTCTCTATTTATACAATGTCATCTGCGGCATTTCAACCAGATCAGCCCCACATCTTAACACTACATCCACCATGTTTTACAGCCAATAATACACACTATTTCATCAGACAATTTTTTTTTCAGATAAAATCTTCTCTTGAAATCAAAGATTTAAAACTTTGACGCATTTAAATTGATGGTTCATTTTTTATGTAGTTTTGCCCACTTTAGCATTTTTATTATTATGATTTTTATTTAAGTATTTTAAACAAAATACTTTTATGTTTTTCAAATTATCTTATAGTGCAAAAATAAACAAAAAATAAGTTAATGTCATTCAAATAATTATGAATGTTAGTGTACATATATACAAAATTTTTAAAGATTTTTTTTATTTAACAGAAACAACATTCTTTGAATCATTTGATAGCAATTTTTTTAGGATTCAGATTGATATTAAAATTTTTTTATTTTGCAGGGTTACAATGTTTGAATTCATAAATATTTAAAGTGGTTCAGATGTTTCATAAAGAAACATTAAAAACTAATTTCTTAAAGTTATTTAAATTTAAAAAAATAGTTATGCATTACAAATTTGATAAAAATCAGTTATTTGTTTAATAGTCATTTTGTGAAAAAACCACTATTTGAGATTAGAAACAATCTTTATTATAAAAAGATCTGTAATTGTAGTAATTTTTGACATCAATGTAAAAGTAAAAATGCTTAAATTCTGCATCAAACACTAAAAATGTTGAACAAAAAAAATTCTAAAATCTCCAACAGTAGGATGTTAAGAATATTTTAATTTATTTTTTAGTTTTTGTTTTTGATATTTTGATGTTTATTGTCATTGAAAACTACTTTGGTAGGTTTAAACAACCTTAAATATATTTTTTGTTTCATTATGAAACATAAAATATGTTTACAACTGGATGCTTTACACTTTGAACCACTTTTGAGGTAATAAAAAAAAATTTTCTATTATCTCTTTTTATATGATTGTATAGTTCAATTTAAAATATAAACTTTCATGACTTTGCTAACTTAATAACAAACATTAACAGTTAAAAACTGAAAAAAAGGAAAAACACATTTAAAAATTGAAATTTTAAAATAATTTGCAAATTTTTTACTATTTTTTTTTTACATTCATTGTTTTTATCCTCATTTGTTAATTAAAAAAAATGTTGTTTTTATTATTATTTGAAAACAATTATTGGAAAAAAAAAAAATTGTATAAGATATTGTGACTATTAATAAAAATTTGTAATAAGTCAGAAGAAACCTTCAACTATGGTGTATACATATTGCATAAAAACTTTACTAATAATGGTACATCATTAGGTGATGCAGAAAAAGAGATTTTATAATAGTTCTCTATTATAAAGAAGTACAGAGTTTGAACACCACCATATCCCTAGTAGTACCACACTCAATGTATTTTTTTAACAAAGAGACCTTGTTTAGCACGATGATGCATTAGAGGTTAATACATAAAAATACATTTGTAAAAAAATGTTAAAAAAAGTCATACATCTTCATATATACTTATAGCTTTTTTATAATTTTCCTGTTGCGCATAGTAGAAAGCCATTTTTAACAAGCACTTGTTTGCAGCACTAAAGAAAGAAATAAAAACAAAAATTAGTAAAGTTAATATTTTATTTATATAGCTATGTATTAAATATAAAAAACAATAACATTAATTCATCCAGTCAGCTTGACGTCACACTGTTTAAAAAGTATTGTTTTAAAATTAACCATCTTGAATCGGGGGAAAACAAACTAAAAAATCTGTAGCGGTTCGATGAGTTAATTTTTATTAAAAGATGCCAAGAAGTTTTTGAGCAGTAGGTTGCTCTAACAACCTTAAAAAAATCAAGAACTTTAATCTGCCTAAAAATGAATTACTTCAAAGAAAGTGGTTGAATACGATAAATTGTGCTGTTAATAGTAGTGTATGTAGCAAGCAATGGTCTCCTAAATCCTCTAATGTTTATGTTTGTTCGTAACACTTAATTACTCGTGTGTTACTTTAAATTTACATCTTAATTTAATACTAAAATAATATGTATACAGCAATGTAAGGCAATACTTTATTTGAACAGAGTTTTAAAAGTATGTAAAAATAAAGTAAAATTATCTAAAAAACTTATGTTTTGCAGAGATCTTTGCATCTCTGCAAAACATAAGATCTTTGCAAAACATCAGCAACATAACTAGATAAATATGAATTTAAAAAATTTTGGTCAAAAAACTTGTTATTTAAAAAACCTGGTGTGACGGAATAGTTTTGCAAAGTATTGATTGTCGCAAATTTTTTATCACCACAAATTTGATTGTCAAAAATGTGAAAAAGGAATAGTGTCGCAAATTATTGCGTTATTGATTGTCGAATAACAGAATAAGGAATAATGTTGCAAATAAATTTAATGAAAAGTGTCATAAATAGAAAAAGGAACTATGTCCTAAAGGAGTTTAATGAATAGTAACAAAAACAAAAAAATAATCATAACTTTAAATGTTTAAGTTGTTTAGATAAAATGTATGATGTCATACTGAAATAGCCTGCTGTTGGGGGCTTCAGTACATACACCAACTATCTTATAGCCTGCTGCTGCAAAGGAGTGCTACTACATTGACTGAAGGTTTGGGATTTGGTAGCAATCTTTTTTTTCATTATTCTTAGTATTTTTTTTCTTTTTTTCTGCAAAAACCGTACACTGCTTATTTTTTGAGGTTTTAAGTTGAATTTATTTTTAATTCAGATTTTTTTAAAACCACTCTTTCGAGCAGGTTGACATGAAAAAGAAACCCTTGAAAACAAATTAAAAACCACATCTTTTTTCATTTTTTGACCATTTTTATAAATACTTAAAACCTTCAAAAAATGAGGGGGTCCTAAACTTTATGTGGCTGTATCTTTTGAGCCTCAAAGTATATTTTGATAAAATTTGAAACCTAATTAGAATTTATGATGGGATTCAAGATAATTTTTTTTTCTTTCAAAAATTACTTTCCCTCAACCAGGGGGATGCAGGGGGCATTTTTCAAGGGTTTTCCTACCCGTGTGATCTGAATGCTGTACTAATTAAATCAAAAACATTCTAAGAAGTGTTTAAAAAAATTAAAAAGCAATGAAGTACCTTCTTCAAACCTCAGGTTTGAAGTACCTTCTTCTTTGAAGTAATTAAGGCGCAAAGATTTTGAGCAGTTTTTTTTGTTGTTGCAAGGATGACGAATACCAGGACCAACAATTTGACAGCATTCTGAGCAAAATGAATTTTTTTCAACTTTTTAACTTGATCATGACCATTTATCCAGGAAGTCTCCACAGCTTTACTGATTGCTTTACCTTTTTGTTTTAAATATAAGTTTGTCTTGCAGCTTCTGCATATTCCAGACAGATGAGAGCTTAGGTTCAGACTGAATCCAGGGTCCACAAAGTCTTTGATCAGATGAATCAATGAATCATTCTTCTCCAAAGATAGACATTTTTTGTCTTTATCAACAACAACAACAGAAACATATCCATCTCCTATTCTCTGAATGAGATCTTGCTTTTTGCAGACTCATTTTGTACAAAAACGTTTTTATTTAGTATTTTCTGTATTAGGTTATTTAAATTTTATAAATCGATACTCTAACAATTTGTTTAACTTAAACAAATTATCAGATGATTGACATAATTTATTGAGACTAATTTGTCTAAATTGTCATGTTTATGCCATTAGTTTGATATTAGATCATTAGTAATTAGTCTCTAAATAAAATTAACTTTATTTTCAGGCACAAACTATGTGATTTGCAGACAAGAGTAGAAATACCCTTGAAAAATGCCCTCTGCATCCTCCTGGTTGAGGGAAAATAATTTTTGAAAGAAAAAAAAATTTATCTTGATTCCCATCATTAATTGTAATTAGGTTTCAAATTTTATCAAAATATATTTTGACGCTCAAAAGATACAGCCAAATAAAGTTATTTTTTAAAGGTTTTAAGTATTTATAAAAATGGTCAAAAAGTGAAAAAAGATGTGGTTTTTAATTTGTTTTCAAGGGTTTCTTTTTCATGTCAACCTGCTCAAAAGAGAGGTTAAAAAAAATCTAAGTAAAAATAACATCAACTTAAAACCTCTAAAATATGCTATAAGCAATGAGCAATAAGCAAAACTAGTAAGCAACTGCTGAAATTAACTATTTGCGACACTATTCCGTTTTTATTTTTTGCAACACTATTCTTTTTTTTTGTTTTCGACACTATTTATTGACTTCATTTGTGACACTATTCCTTTTTTTTGTTTTCGACACTATTCATTGAATTCATTTGTGACACTATTCTTTTTTTTTTTTTTTTTCGACACTATTCATTGAATTCATTTGTGACACTATTCCTTTTTATTGCAACATTTTGCCTTTTTAATATATTTGACACTATTCAGAAGTTCATTTTTCAACACTATTCCTGTCACCCGAAAATCTCCCTTGTCTAGAAACTTAAAATGTTCTAATAATTAAAAAAAAAAGAAAACAACAACAATAAAAACAAATTTAACTAAATTAACTAATATTTAATTCATTCAAAAAAAAAAAAATGGTTTTAAAAATTAACAGTGAATTTAACAGTGTTAAATTCACAAAACTAATTTGTGCTATTTTCTTTTCTATTTTGTGCATCTCCTTAACTCCTTATGTTTAGTTTAACAGAGTTTCTTTTTTTCATAAGACTCGCTCAAAAAAAAAAAATCATTTTGCTCTTCTACATTTATGATTAGCATATCAGACTCTTCAATTAAAGACATTTCACCTCTGCACTTTGCCTACTGCTTTTTTCTTATCTAAAATTTTTCATTTTAAATTTATACAGTTGTATTTTTTTTGTTTTTTGTGATTGTAAATACTCTTTATATTGCTTGCTTGTTCTTTATACATGTTGCAGCATTTTTTTATTGATTTTGATAATATCAGGGGATTCTTTAAAGAAAGACAAATGATCCTCAATTAGATTATGCAAAAAGAGATTTTTGTTTATTAAAACTAAAGCCACTCTCAATGGAAGTTTGGACATGTTTAAGCATAAAAATATAAAATTTTAAACATCTTGAAATAATTTCCAATTTGAGTCGATTATTTCTAAAAACTTTTGATATTGAATTTTGCCAGTTTTTTGGTCACAAAGGACAATAATTAATATCAATAATTTATTAACTTTTGAAAAACTGTTAAACCAGAAGTGGTTAAAAAAACATTTAACCTATCTTTATAAACTTTATAACTTATAAATTCTAATCTATGGATGCCTTTATACTGATTATTGACCTTATTAGTCATTGTAGCTAGGGTGTCCCAAAAATTTTTTTTTTAAACTTTTTGATGCAGTCCCTCTTAAAAGTTTCTTTGCAGTCTCTTAACAATCCTTTTTTTTTTTTTATTACATTTGAAAAATATTTAGAGGTTCCCCAAGGGTCATAAAGTTTTAGCGATGTCGCAGAATTTTTGTTAATGGCATTTGATGGCTCGACATCATTGAGTTTACAGAATACAGATCACATGTCTAATCGATCATAAAAATATAGTAAAAATGATTAGTTCCTGGTAGAGTTTAGAATAAAATTGGTTTATAGCACATCTTTATATGATTTAAAGCACAAGCAAAGCCAATTTTAACTTTAAATATTTTAACACTTAGCAATAGAAAACGTAACTTTTTTTATGCTCATTTGAACACAATTAAAGACAATAATTTATTATACAAAACGGCAACAAGGTTTTAATTGCTCATTCTAAAATATGATAAATAACTTCTTAAATCTAAATTTCCACAAGATTGTCGCGATTGCATTTGGAAAAGTCTTGTCTGTGTTTTTCAACAACCTGAAGTAGAAATTGTTTCTGTTCTTCATTCTTTGTTATTGCTGCATTAAAATTTTGGATGAGAGCAACGCCCCGCTCAGCACAATCATTAACACATGGCAAGTTATTGACAAGTTGACGTGCCATCTGATAGGAATGGTTTTCGTGACACTCTTCTACTGAAATATCAAGAAAACTATCATCAAAGGCAGTAACTAGGAAGAAACTTTGAGAAATGAGTAATTCCGCTGTTGTTTTTGGAAGAGACTTGAGCAAATGCAATCCTCGATCACTTTTCATTGTTGACACAAGCTGGGTTTTTTCTTTAGAAGACATATGCTGAGAGAACAAGGAAACTGTTGCTAGCTCTAGGCTGAGGTACCAGGAGTGACGCTTCATCATCTTAAAACCTTTTGTCTGCAAAGTAGCATCTTCATACGTAAGCAGCCTTTGAATCAATAGAATGTCATTCAATGGTGCATCAGTAATGGCTCGACTTGAAAACCAAGATTGAATGTAGACATTGACAACAAATCTATTAAATCTCTGAATGCCCTGTAATTCATGAGCAGTCAACTGTATAACAGCTTCATTACCATCAAAAAGCAATTCTATCTTCATTGCATAAATCGCCTTGGCCATCCAACGTGCTCTGTGAACGGCATCAGGCTTGCGAACTGGTGCTGCCCCAGCGCATTTTAAACCAATCATATAAGCTGCGAGTTGGAGAAATCCTCGATACTCATCTCGTGAATGGCTGAGTTGAAGCT